CGATCCTGCTGACCAAAAGAACAATTCTCCTTTACCCCACCTTAGGTCAACTATAGCCCTTACCACACATGGTTCAGCATACTTTTAATTTTAAAAGTAGGTGATCAGAATATTTTATATACTTTCTAAAAGGAACAACAAAAGCCTACATTGAGCTGCTTTTGTACCACATGTGGCTCCTATTGTGGAGGACAGTAATTTACCATATAAGCAAGATCCTCCAGTTCTAACTTACAGAATGTGGGCTCTGATTTGATGAACTGAATTTCCGTATTTGTTCCCTTTTGAGGGTACTTTAATTAAATATGCATGTATTGACCATCTACTGTGTTTAATGTATTGACTTAGACTCAAAGGGAGGTTTAGACATGAGCTTGGCTTCCTGAAATCTTGAAATCCCTGGAATGTTTCAAAACAATTCACATCAGAATCAGCTGGGGTACTTGTTAAAAATTGTTACCCATCTTACTTCTACCAAGTCAGACTATTCTAAAATCTGCATTGGTATTCACTCCCTAGGTGATTTTTCTGTACAAAGTGCTAGGTCTTGTAGAGAATCTGTACCAATTAATTCTACTAGTAGCTTACATTCTTAAAGTCCAAATATCTCTCCTGTTTCTGAATTCAAATTTTCTTTATTTTTAGTAGTTTTTGTATTTCTGTCAAAGGGAAAACTTATGAGAATTACTATTCCTTATGGACGTTACTCTCCTCGTGGGAAGAAAATAGGCTAAAATGTGTGGTTCATGAGCTAAATGAAATCAAACTAAATGTCAAACGTATTAGGCATTTTGGGGAGAATGGTAGATCACTAGAGGTTTTTAAGTTTCTGCACTAAGGGTTTTTATTATAAAATTGATAGCTCACACTCTTAGTGGTGAATATAATTTAGAAGAATGTCTGGGTAAGGCTAAGAAATGACTTAGAGTTTTCTGATAAATATCTGGCATTAATGAGGGAAGATGCTGATCCAATTTTTTTTATGTCCCTAGAAGATATTATTATCCTTATCCTATTGTTCTTGTTAGCTGTTATTCAGTGCTTCTCTGACTGGTATTAATATTATTTTGTGCACATCTCTCATACCTACCAGAACAGTGGTTATCAAATGTTATTGTGCATAAGAATTACATAGGATGCTTTTTAAAATGCAGATTCCTGGGTGAATATCTAGAATTTCTGAATCAGTGAGTCTGAGGTGGAGCCTGATATTGTTCATTTTTACAATCATACGTTCTCACCCAAGTGATGTGCTCAGGAAGCATATCCCTGGACTATAAACTCCTTTGAGGTGAGGGAGTTACCACTTTGTATATATCCCAAAAGGTCAAGCATGGCCCATTGTCCACAGGTCATCAATTTTAATGCTATTAACCAAATTCACCTGTCTATAGACAAGGGCTAAATCAGATCATGTATCAAAGTTCTTTGCAGTTCTGAGACTTTTTGATTTTTCTAATAGAAATTTTGTGACTTGATTCTGGAAAACCTTTAAGATTGGGTGAGTTCAAA